GAAACTAATAGGAATTAACAAGCAACAACAACATCTCATTCGTTCTTCAGTTAAGATGGCATACACACGAGTGTTTTTGAAATGTCTGACTCCTTCTGTCTTTCCTTTGTCTTCCGTTCTACAAAGCGCTTACCGGTAGTTCCACTTTGTATTAATTTACGTCCTATTGTTTTCATTTTCTTGTCTTTTTCTTCGGTTACTTGTTTATTCATTTTCGTTTTTGCGTGACTTCTAAAACGTTCCGTTAACTCTTTAGCAAACGTGGAAGTCGAGGAACTTCTTGGAAGAAGCAAGGCTGCCGCTTCCGCTCGGCTCAACTGGAAGTTAAGAGGAAAAACGTGCTGCGAAGGTATTTTAGCCAACACGTACCCGGATATCTATATTGGCAATAAATTGACTGACGAGTTGAACTTTTCTTCAGATGACCTCCGTGTTGGTGCAAGTTCCATTTCTTCTCTGTTATCATAGCGGCTGTTTCAACCCAACCTGCTGAAAACTAATTTTCTATCTACATACATTACAAGTGTCATCAATCTGCTTGAGATCACTAGACGTAAATTTGAAGTGTTGTCTGCGACTGGTTTAGGAAAGGATAAAGTTGGTTTTCCAGCGTCTTCTCGAAGACTTCTTTGGACAGAATCGATGCTAAAATGTATTGGCGGCGTTGTAAAATTTTCGCCACATTAGTCCTTCATATAACATCGTGTTTCAGTGTTCCGCTCAGCGATTTCTATCCTTATGGAGTCAGCGAGGGTGATAATGCACTTCCGCCAAATGACGACGGCAGCTCAGGAGAAATACCAATCTCAACTCTCTTCCCGTATTTTGACAAGAATCACGGTTCCTTATATGTAAGTAGGCAGTATTTATTTGCACACTTGATTATGAATTATATTTACACTCAGAGATATATTTCATAAGTTTATTTTTTAAAATATTGAAGTGCCTGCATTTTAAAACTACTTTGATTGTACGTGATATCAGCGCTAAACTTTGCAAAATTGAAATTCACAGATTGAAAAAGTTTCTCCTTTTCTTACTTCATTAAAGATTCTTGTAACGCACTTTAAATAGGAATGTTTCGAGAAAATTGTACATTGATAGCGCCTCTGATTTCTTGTGGATTAAAATCCCTATGAACTACCAGCGTGACAGTTAAAATTTTTGTCGGAACCACATTTGTCTAGCTTAATTAAATATAACTGAATGCTGCACTCATCAATTATGTTTTAAAACGAAGTATGATTGTCCTTTAAAATTCTATCTTTATATTTTTGTGAATGATACAAGTTGCTCGTTTATTCCGCCATATCTTCACTGCCCAACAATATTTTCAGTTCTATCGCATTGTTTAAGTACCCCAATACGCCACGAGTGACCTTTCTACTCCACCAATGTGTTTCATACGTGGTGTACGTCATGAGATATATTAGGCTCTTCTTGCACAGAAATCATCGCGACCTTAGCAGAAGACGAATAGAACGCATGCAAACAAGAGAAAAATACTTGAATTCAGTATACAAGACAGATCGTGCATTAAAAGTATTCGTGATAGTCTGGCGGGCACGACAGTTTAGTAGTTGTTTCACTAAGTACTTGAGTATTGTCGAAATATGTTCAAGGGTAATATTTCAGACATTTAAAACAATCAGATTATCAGATCGAGATCTTTGTCACGTGATAGTTGATAGTTGCTTATTAGTTGATGCGGGAAAAGCCAGGATCAACTTTCACAATAACAAATCGAGAGCGAATAATATTACAGTTTAAGTTGTTAGAAATTTGACAACTAGAGAGTCTAATGTTTTTATTTTGATGAAAAAATAGCGAGTATCACAATTTTCATTTTATTTTTACCTTCGACCAGAGCGGCTTATCGCCTAGCTGAGTCCACGTTGGAAGACCGTAAGCTTTTAAATTAGAAGCATATATCCTTCAATGGGGGTCAAAACTCCTTGGGAAGTTATTGAAAACATGCCCTAGTATGCCCAAATATACTAAAAAAAACTAACTACTTTTAGCCAATTCAGGCGTGTAAACAGAACCTCCACTCCCTCGACCCACTCACAATGTTCGTTAAAGTACGTATTGGTAAAGTTTACGAAGCGCATCAAATTCAACTTTGTTTGAGGGAGAAATAATTCGATTTTAGTATTATTGCGTAAGTGTCCCAAGACTTGCAAACTCCATTTTAGTTTATCTGAGTATGATTTAACACATGTATTGTAAAATTAAATAATTTAACCGGGGAAGTTGTGAAGAATTATGTTTCATAATGCTTCCAGGGAGATTATCGACTTCAGAATAATCTTCATCTCTGATTTAACTTTTCTGTGTGTGATTTCAGGTTAACACAAATGGAGTTATCTCATTTCTGGGTGCAGTGAGTCAATACACCCCAGCTCCATTCCCCTTGGGGGACAACCGACGTCTTATTTCGCCATTTTGGGGTGACGTGGACACCAGAAAAGGAGGAACTGTATTATACAGGGAGTCTATTGACTCTGTATTGTTGGACCGAGCTACAAAAGATGTTCGACGGGCATTCTTAAATCACCAGAGATTCTCAGCCTCTTGGATTTTCATAGTGACCTGGGACAGAGTGGCATTCTATGGAGCTGAAGGAAACTTTAAAAACAAGGTAATAGGGAAAGATAAAGTTTCCGCTTTGTCACAGGCATCGAACTTCTGACCCTAGAAGTGCTACCACTGACCTCATTCTTTTCTTCTTTACAAATGACGCTCTCTAAATTGCTGATCCTAGCAGTAAGCAGGACGCGTGTTACATAAGAACCTTGCATCGGTTCAGCTCTTTTTCTTATGTCCCATGCTTGTGAAAAGACGTAAAACGTCTTTCCCCACTTCATTACTGAACGCAAAATTTACCGTCTTTCCTATTCTAATTTTACAAACAAGGTAACATTAGTTAAAACCCCAGCAGGGCTATGAAGACAAATAACCTTAATTCACAATGGTTTGAGCAGAGGATATCGTGTAAAAGGGGAAGGGATTTACAAAGAAATTGCAATTTTGTATCTTTTCAGGTGAACAATTTTCAAGCAGTGCTGGTTACAAATGGACGTCATTCATTTGCCATATTCAATTACAATCAAATCGTGTGGACAACTGGTACAGCTAGCGGAGGGACTCAGGATGGATTGGGCGGTACCCCTGCTCAGGTGAGTGTCTGAATGTAAAGTAAGAGACAATACACTGACAAGTAAAAGAAGTGAGCCCACTGGCTTTATTACCACGATCCAAAAAAAAAACAAATTTTTATAAACTTGCAGGTTGCAATGAAACGCTCTTTCAAATAGCTTATAGCCTTCAAATATTCTCTCTCCTGCCCTCGCCCTACAGTTGTGCAGCCTGCGTGAGCACAAGAGTGCTGCGACAGGAGCGACGAAGTCCACGGGTTTCGGGCCTACCCGTGAGGCGAGCGTGCAAAAAGTTTGCAAAGAGTCTGCGAGGGCTCTGCCCCGAGAATGAGACCCCTCTCAGACCTCTTTCTCGCCCGTTTTCCTCGCCAACTCGAATCTCAAGGGCCTCCATGCCCATACCGCATCTTTAATGAGACTTCACTTCTCAAAATGTTTTGTTAAAGAACATATGGCCGATGGAATACCCAAATATCTTTGGACCTACTTAATTTAATGAACCATAATCATAACACATTTACCGTTGTAACTCTAAGAAAGCGTAAAACGCCACCATAGAGAAGGTACTAATCCATGCGCTGAGCTCGCTTGGAAAAGATTACTCATAGATTCGCAGAGTCGAACCCTTTCCTCTATCTGCAGCTGTGACCGAAATATTACACAATGATGAAGAAGTTACCTTAAACGTATGGAATTGACCGTAGATTTGACTTGGAATTGCAGGGCGGGTTTAATGCTGGAGATGGGGTGAGGTTCTTCATTATCCCTGGCTCCCGAACAAATAACATCCTTAATCTTCCTTCCACCTCAAACGTTGCTCGAGGCGGTCAGTGGATGTTCCGAACCGATGAAGCAAGTGTGGAAGCTGGGGGATGCAACACAAAAGGTACAAATTGTAAACACAAGTATAGTTTAAATAACGGAGTCAAAAGCACAAATATGTAGATGTCGCTGGAGAGGACGTTCAGCAAATATACCTTAAAAGGGAAAAATAACTTGAATTAAGAAAATCTAAATAGGGAGTCACAGACCAAGAAACTTTGGGAAAAGTGACTTAAAACTGTACGGAAACAATAATTTTATCTTCCTATAGTTTTTGTTACTTAGCTTCGTTTTTTAAACGGCACACAACCCTCTGTAATCATCATGCAACATTTACCGCGAAGCATAAAAGTGTTGCAGATTGTACTATCCTTGCTCCACAAAATGTGTCGTTTTCAAAAAAAGAATCTAAATGAATGAAGAACCGCAAACATTTACCACGTTCAGTAGGCGCGCTATCATTAGTTTTTCCTCACTAGTTTTTTTTTTTTTTTGGACTCACGCGACTGACTTCTCCGATAAGAGGGGCCACTCGTCGTCTAAGCAGTTCCTGGTACCATATTTCGGTTATACGCTATGCTAACATTGCATTCATCTGGTTTCTTCTTATTTAACAGGATCTCTCACCATATCACCCCGATCTGGGATTATGTTAGGAGGTACAAACGTGAAAATGAGTGGACCTTGCTTCACTGCAAATGATAACATTGTGGTTCAACTCGACAATGATGTCAACATTAATGCAACTTTTAGCGATGAGCTAACGTCATCAGTTACCATACCAGTGTTGAACAAGACAGGACGGCTGTCATTCAAGTTATCTACTGACGGCGGAAATTCATTCAATTACAATGGAGCGTACACATCAGGTACGTTATCAACAACAATATTTTTAATTCTCCGTTGAGCTCATTTTTGTCATCAATCAAAATTGTAAATTTAAGGAAAAATTAAAAAGAAAGAACAGAAATTTTATCTTTTTAGACAAATGTTTTAATGTCTTTGTTTGACAACCAAGCTCAAAATTTGAAATATAAATATATTTAATCTTCACTCAGGTCGCTCTAGCCATAAGATCCTCAAGTTCTCATGAACGAGCCATGCCTGGCTTAAATAGTTCTTGGTGTGGTAGAGTATCTGATGGCGAAATGAAACCTCGCTGAGGTTCGAATTTTCACAACGCTATCAGATGTTCATAATATATTTCAAGGGCAACATGCACCATTGGCTATGTTCAAGTTTCCAGGTCGTTCAATTTCTTCCTTTTCTAATAGGAACATTGAAAAATGTTATCTGTTTTGTTTCAGTTCCGATAAATCGATACACTCCCGAGGTCCAGCGAGAGGACGGTGATACATGGCAGGAGGATTCCACGGTTGACATTAGTTGGGATTCGGGAAGCATCGGAGGACTTGACGAGGAAGTGTCGATTGACTTGGCGCGCTATAAAATGGGAGATGACGATGTCCCCGTACTGGACAGTTTCCGTCAAGTAGTAAACAATCAACTTAATTCTGGACATAGTCGGTTTACTGTCACAAAAGGAGAGGGAGACGGGTAAGGGTGATTCTTTTAGCAGTAATGCGCGGGAAAGAAAAAAAAAGTTAGTTTGGCATGCTTTTTCATCATATGAATAACATTCTGCGTGAAACTGCATTGTCGCTCAGTGGCGCTAAACGCATGTCTGTGGACTGTTTGTGTTGATAAATGTATCAACGTCAAGCGCAGCTATACGTCTTCTGAATCACTGATCATGAGCAGGGAACTCAGACAGGAGATGAAAATAGTTTCTAAATATCTTTCGGTGCGGTTTTGTTGAAAAATTCATTGTTAAGAAAAAGTCTATTTGAATGGGGCGTGCGCTCTGCCAGTTAAGAACAGAACACATTTCAGTTGTTACGTCAGTTGCAATTCACTGTTCGTTTTTGTCAGCGAGTTTTAAGGTGCATATTTTGTGTCACAAAAAAAAAGTGCTCTGTTTCGGTAGTCACAACGAAACTGGTTTCAACAGCAATCGGCGGTAGAATGGAATATTCGAGTAAAGTGCGTGGTAAAGAAGAAAGTGTTTATGACAAAGTTGCAAGAGAATTCCGCGAACTCGAGAAGAATGCTGACAAGTACTTTGACAACTTGGACGCTGTCGAAGAAATGTGTACCAAGCAAAAAAAAAAACGCGGAAACATTTCGGCTGAAAGCTGAAGCCGTAAAAGAGATATTTAAGAAAGATGCTGCCGTTAGGGTCAAATTGTATTCTACCGTCATAGAAATGTAAGAAAAACTGAACCGATGGATATCAAAAAAGGAACCGACATGGCCAACTGAGGAAAAGATGCCAGAAGCAGCTGAGAATGCACACCGGCTAACTGTCACTGGTCGAGTGTGTCGCTATGTCAAGATTGGATGTGCTTTGGTGTTTGACGCAGTAGCTGCGTATGGTCTCTTTAAGCTTACTCAGCCACATTTTTTTTTTAAATCACTGCGCCGGGCCCTTAAAAAAAGATGGGCCTATCACTCGGTAAGGGAACAAAAAGCCTACAAGCAGTCCCCCTTTTTGCGAACTCTGTCGCGCGAGTAAAAAGAAAGGAGCAAGATTTATGTTCCTCTACTCCATATCAAAAAATTCAGGCCCTTGATTTCGAAAGATACGTAAGACAATGATTGGCTTGGGTGTTTTTTCTCAAAGCTAATCCTCTTGTTCCACTATTATTTTGTAGGAACATTGATGATCGTTTTATCAATCTTGTTCGAGTGTCAAGAAAAAACAGCTACAGCAACGTGTCTAAGTCTCAGTGGGTGTGGAGTGGAGTGTTTTCTTGGAAGAATTCGCCGTGGGCTGAAAAAAGATGTAACAAATGGCATCAGAAGGAACCTAATCCAGACACATTCAGAGGTATTTATTAGAGACCTTAATTCCATATGTCTTCGGGAAGAAACAGATTAACGTGTTGTTATCGGAAAATATGCTCTCCCACACAGTCGCGTTTAGGACTGATCTATCGATGTTTCTTAATTTTGTGTCTTAAAGTCCGGATTCAAACGGAAGAGCCTCAAAAATTCGAATTTGGTTATCGCTGAAGTTAACTCGAATTAGGACCATTTTCCTAGAAGATGATTTTTCAGTCATCAGCTTCGGCCACCTCGAAATCCCCAGCACGTCAAAATGTTGTAAGCGTCCTTGTGGCAATTCGTTATTAGCACATTAGGAATGATTCTTCACTCTCGCATTCCCTTTCTCTGAGAAGAAGCGAGTGTAAATGGGTGTTATATAGCCGTCAGGAGAACCTAGAAGCTGCCATCCGAAAGGATTAGCAATGCTGCTAAACTTTTCATACTTCAAAGACCAACGTAAGCTCCTATAGAGGGTTGTGGGGCTAAACATGGGTTAGTATTCCAACAGAGTGATGGCAAGACCCTCCTATTTCGCATTTAAAAAAACGTTCCTGCATGCTTAACGTTAGCGGGTAGTTTTTGAGCAGGTGAAAGTAGTGACAAGGCGAGAAGGATTTTGACTTATACTGTTGTATTCCATCATTAAGGGGATCCCAGCATGCAGCCATGCCCTTTGAGGTTGACTCAGGCTATGGTAGATCGCGGGCGCTTCATGTCTGATGAGGAATGCAATCCCCAAAATCGCGATGGATGTGATCGATACCACAAGGGAGCTTTCCAGTGTTTTTTAATGGTCAATCCCAGGTCAGTTATGCTTAATTTTAGTTTAGTGGAAGCTTACTGGCAAACAGCCCTGAGGAAATGCAGTGAGATATCAAAATCGTCTTTTCTAACTGCTGTTTTTAAGAAGCCCCGCTGTGCAACGAAAAAAAGGAACTCATAAGCAGGAAAGAGAGGCTAATCAGTGCAGAGTTGTAACACGAAAGATAACTTTGCCTCGATTTGATTCACTGGACCCAGTATCTTTTGTCTTCGTTCGAATAGATATCGAGCGGGAGCATTGATTTACTTTCTTCTTCCATAGTGCCACAGGCTCTGGTCAGCAGTGCTGCTTTAACAAGTTTGGAAACTTAATGGTGGGCCAACCAGACGCAGGGTCCCTTGACCGCGTTCATCCTAATGCTGGTCTCCCTGTGATATCCCATTTCTTCCATGATAAGGTGCCGTACGAAGACTGCTGCCGCAACTCTAAGAATTGTGAAAAGTACTTTGAGAAGCGGCCTTCAGACGACGGCTCAAGATATCAAGCACCAAGACCCGGTAATTCTTAATCACTTCATAAGTGTGATGTGGCGTGTGGGTGACGCGATAACCCAGGGGTCGGAGCGTATAAAATGTTGTCGCTCAAAATTCACAATCGAAAACGAAAAATGTACGAAAAGGCTGAACACGCGCTGAGAAAAGGAGCGGGCGTGTTACTCTCCTGTGTGACAATGCCACATATTTAAAAGGTTTACAGTATTTCCGAGTGCAGTCAAATTCGCTCTATAAACATACGAATGATTCGCGTATTTGAGTAAACGCGGTAGTACGATTTGTTAATAGCAAATCCCCTTACCCATCAACAAAACTTTGAAAAAAAATTGAAGAGACAAATTCTCAAAGGTTTGAGTTATTCATAAATAAATACATTACATTTCAATTTTTTAATACAAATGAACCCAGCAGTCTCGATCGATAGCAGACCGCAGAAATGACGCGCACTGTCCAATTACACGGGAGTGGCGCGTAAAAACTTTCCTTTTACATTTTTCAGTTACTATATCCAATTACAAGCGTAGCGCAAAAGTTGTACTAATCTAGACAAAGCGCGCTGCTAATTGCCAATTATGTTTGGGCATTATGTTTTACCTTTAATTAAAAGTGGGGAAAAAATGTATGTATAGTTCTTTGATAGTGATTTCCCTTAACAGTTCACATCTTCTTTATTTCAATAACTACGTTTTTTCGTTGCCCATAGCTACCGGTTTTGGAGACCCACACATGGTGACCTTGGATGAGAAACCATTCACGTTCAACGGATATGGGGAATACTTCATTTTAAAAGTGAAAGGGGTAGACTTCACCTTGCAGGGGCGTATGGAGCCTCTATTAGCAGACGATGGATCGCCCTCAAAAGCCACGGTATATACAGCATTTGCAGCCAAGGAAAATGGATCAGACGTTGTACAGGTCAGGAAAATATGGGAAATACAGAAAAATATATATATATGTGGTGATGGGCACACGAGAATTCACATTTGATAAGTAAGTTCCGTGATGTATTTATATAAGGCCGTCATTGCCATGCTGGATACAAGGTGGCCTATTGGTTAGCATGTTGGGCGTGAGCACGATAGATCTACACAGGTCCAGGTTCCTCCGTGGCTGTGCCAGGAGACTGGATCATCATTGATGGGCCAGCATGTCCTCGTTCATTTGTGAATATAAATAAACTAATTGTTGCGCTTATTTAAACTTTTTTTCACTTCTTCTGCTTAATGTAGATCCAGTTGAATGGTCGTGGCTTAGTGGATGTTTTGGTGAATGGGGAAAGAGTTGATTTTGATGAGCTCTCCCTTCTGGAATTCACCGGAGTCTCTGTGTTGTATTACATCAACACTACTAAATATTCCGTTATTTTTAACTCCGGCATCTCCGTGACAGTTGAAGGGCAGCAAGAGTTGCTTGGTCTCGTGACTTTGGTACCAACAGTTTTTAAAGGTAAAAATCAAGAGAAGGTAGAAGAATTTAAATTGATTTCGATTATTTCTCTACCTTTTGCAAGCATTCGTGTACACAGTTTATCTTTAACGTTTATAAGTCTTTCTAAGGAAGAGAAATATACTTAGCTATACTCATTTTGATTAAGTGTTGCCCGGCTGAGAGAAGGAGAGGTCCCAAGTGGATAGTTGACTCTTCTCTTTTTATCAAAGAAGAGATGTTATGTTACACTTGCAGTCGAAGTTCGCGGTCTTTACTCTTAGTCCTCGACAGAGTTTTCCATAGTTGATTGATGGCCCAAGCGTGATGTGTGTTGGTCTTTAGTCGAAGGGAAACGGTGACAAATCGTAAATCGCGGGGAAAATGTACGACCCTCTGCAGTATTTGTAACGTGTATTAAATTGGTTTGGGGAAACATTGTTGGTTACTCAGAGCGGCCTCACATAGAAAAGACGCACTTCGAAAGCAAAACGAGCCCATTTGCTATTTAGGCTTAATTAAGTTCAAACAAAAAATTTGGAGAAAATAAAGGATTCACGAGGGTGATTTTGAATGAAAAAATAACTGAAGGATGGTCCCCTAAACTGACCAATCGCAACGCGTTCAGTAACTGTGACATTCCACATAAACAAAACGGCATCACATACCCAACCCCTAGAATGGACAGGCTAAATAATTGAAGAAAGTATCCGATACTGAGAGTGGAAAGATAAATTGTTCATTGCAGGTAATACTTCTGGTCTCCTTGGATACTGGGATGACAGTAAAGAGACGGAATTCCTCAAGCCCGATGGAACATTTCTAAATACAAATTCGAGTTTGGAAATCATACACAGGGATTTCGGACAATTATGTACGTAACTTTCAGACATGATTGCTTTATTGTATTTTTTTCAAATGTTAATCCAGGTTAGGAAATTATCTTTGAAGTTTCGCTAGTCATAAAACGCAAGCAGAGCCTTTTCAAATTTCAGATTTCTTAATCAAAATATTAAAAACCTATGTGGCCGGTTATTAGTATAATTTTCGAATTAGAAATACAATTTTTGTCGACATTGTTTCCTTAGTGCAGATGCTGCTTAGTTGTACTGTATCCATTGAGATTGTCACCCCCTCTGTAATGAGTTCTATAATTATGATTTTATTTTCTTCCGCCTTATTTCATCTCACGAGTAAGCTACGAAAAAATTCTGTCAAGGTGTTTTGGTCTTATTTAGCACAAAAGATCTTAATAAAATTTAATGATATGAAACTACTTTTGGGACAACATAGGCTAAAACAACGAGACAAGAGTGACACAGGAAACTCCTTGGGTATCATTTAATGGCGCTATTCCTTAAAAGTGCACTTGACTGTTACACCTTTTCTTTCGTCCGCAGGGGTCACCAAACCAGATGAGTCTCTCTTTGTCTATCAACAAGGGCAGGACCACTCCACGTTTCACCATCCGAATTTCCAGCCAATATATCCTGACAGTCAAAACTTGGACTTTACCGATAAGGTGCTGGAGAAGGAGGCCCAGAATGTCTGTGGAGATAGCTCCGAGTGTTTGTTCGATATTTTCACAACTGGCAAAGTGCGAATCGGACGAGCAACAAAAGAGATTGTGACTCAGTTTGTTGCTGTTGTAAACGACACTGTGAAGCCAGGTTAAGAATATTAATTTCATAGTTTATTGCAATAGCTAAACATCAATTCACAATAGTTGATCTGTCCATTGGAGTATTCACGAGCTCCTACAATTCTTAATTGCAAAACGAGAGGTGTTTTTGAGTGAAAATGAGTTTTCTTTACATTTCGTCCAAAATGTTTTTCACTCCGTGTCTGCGGCTCATAACAGAGCTTTGGGCGTCACGTAAATTGAACAACGAGGCAAGCCTATGTTGGGCCTCTTGGGGTGAAAATGACTTATTTACAGAAAAAAAAAGTCATTTTCGTCCAGAAGGCTTTGCGCTCCGTGTCTGCAGTTGAAAACAGAGCTTTGGGCGTCCTGTTAATCGCTCAATTCTGTTAGCGGTGTCCACCGGTGCAACGATCTTTCATGCATGAGATATCGATTATATTCATACACACCAAGTCATTCTCCAACGATTCTTAGCGTTCCAAGGACCCGATACCAAACGAAAACGCATCTAAGGATATTTTCCATTTCCCGCATTGTTCCAGGTCTCTTTCCTGTTTTCTCATGGCTAAAGGCTGATATGTCCATCGCAAGGTTTGCTAAATTGTGTGATGTTGTCTTTATTTTTCAGCTTGCGTACCACTGGACTCGCAGCTGACTAATGGGTTTGTTCACAGAAATGACACCGATGGCGGGATTGATTACAAGTTTGCATGCAATGAAGGTTTCGTTCTGAACGGTTCTAGTCATGTAACGTGTAAAGATGGACTTTACAATGGTTCAGCTCCAAACTGCTTGCCGAAAGGTAAAGTAGACCAATCATTAATTTTTTTTTTGCAACTATTTTCATTCACAGCATGCCTTAAAAATTGTTACGTTGACTTTAATTGTGTTTTGCTCCCGCCATAATCAATCGATAACATCGATAATTGATATCGTTTGATAACAAGCGATATAAATGAATACAACTTGGGTCAGCATGGAAATAAAATTGATTGATTGATACCTCTAAATCAAAATTTGAACGTTTAGTCTAATAATGTGGCTGAGATTTGACGTATGGAAGGCTGCAGGTGATAGCAGTGACAAGAGGTTTCGACAACTTGAGCGGAAGTCTTCAACAAAGTTAAGGCTGTCGAAACGTTAGTCACTACAACCGACAACGGTATTCCCTGGCAATCTCTCTTATCTGAACGATCAAACCAGTTTTTGTAACACCGAACTTGGTAAATCTTTCAATGATACTTTAATCAGTCTTAGGAACGAAAGAATGAAGGCCATAGAAATCATTTTAGTGCAGAGACGCCGTAATAGTATTGGACGCTTTCCAAGAAATGCATCTTTTGCCAGATAATCCACGATAGCTTCTCTATCGAACCAACAATTGGTTCATTCGTTTGTATATGTCCATTGAGGTTTGAAGCTCGCGGAAATTTAAAGGGGCAGGCAAGACATTTTAGAGTTTCTCGAGGCGCGGCGGTACTAAAAATTCTTTTATTTTATAGAAACGTTTTCTGCTACCCTCCAATGCATGCACAAACGTCATCAGCGTGCACAGTAGACACTCGCGTGATTGAATTTGATACCATGAAATTTCAGTCTTTATGTCTGAAAATACTTAAATGATAGGTTAGCAATTTTTTAGCGGGAAACTAAGTTGTTTTAATTTACTTTTTTAACTTTCGTTTACATTTTCATTTCGCCTCTTTGAAACTGCAAATTAAATTTTGTTGACAAGAAAAAAAATCTGTTTAAGGTGGCTATTTTGACTGATCAACTTTAGATCTCAACTGTAGGAGCAGTCTTACTAATCACCAGGGGAAAGTGGGGGGAGGTTTTTGGGGGATCAAAGGATCAGATGGTTTCCAGGAGAAACGGAAGGGAGATCCGTCGTCAGTCGTCGCCGGAGGGGGGGGGGGGGACTATAGATTGACTGCCAATTAACTGCCAATTAACTGCTAATGAGGGGAAAGATTCATATGAATATTACAGAGCTCTATAGGGGGGATCAAGCAAATTATATCGGGACACAACCATAATCCACTGAACCCCGCCTCCCCTCACAGGAGATAATAATGACCGGTCACTTAAGTCTGACTGTAAATAAGAACGGAAAGAAGCACAGGTAGATGGTGAGTGTGTCACTGATGTCCCCGTGGTAGATAATTACCTTTGAAAGACAGAAAAAAATTAATCAAATGACCGAGTGATAACATTACACATTTTGATTTCCTCTTTAAAAGAATGCCCAGTTCGTCTTTGGCATCTTAAGAATGGTCGCTTTCACGGGAACGGCAGTGTTTATCTCTCAACGTATCATTTCCTGTGCAACGGTGGATATGTCTTGGTTGGTGACAATACCGTGACATGCAAGGCGAATGGCTCATGGAATGGCACAAAACCCGTCTGTTTGCGAGGTATCAAGTTTAGCCTTAATACATTAGATGGGTTTCCTAGAAAAGAACGATCGCGGATCAAGGATTAGGAATGAAGGATCGGGGATGGATGTTTAAGGATCGATCATTATGAAATCATCAATTTTTTTGAAGACAAGGAGAAGTTAAACTGCATTCTCTGAAAATTATATACGTGCAACTTTCCAGTGTTAATGCATGTATCCTCAGTTTTTTCCTTGATCACAAAGCTAAACTATGCAAATCACCTCGTGGTTATTGCATTTCACGTAGTCAAATTGTGTCATCTTTGTAACTCATCATAAAAGTAATTCCCTCTTTTAGGCTCACTCTAATCTCACTACATTCAGTTAATTCCAGGGGACTAGAGTCCCAAGTCACTTCCTGGCGTAACGATTTAACAGATTCTTGACACCCGATCCTCCTTCCCTCGATTCCAGTTCCTTGACTGTCGTTTCTCGATCCTTGATATCGATTAACGAGAAAATAAGTTCGCTTTCAATTCGCAAATGACCATGAGATCTTTTTAAACAATGCAGATCATGATAAACTCCAACCTCGATTCAAATGGTTATTTTTCTCCGTTTTTTCGCTAAGTTGGTTCAAAATAACAGCCGATCAGATAATGTTGTCATGAACTGAGTGATGCTGTTGAAATAAAATCAATAAGGATAAAAATTAGCTCAAGAAAATGAAACCAGAACAAATGTATTTCCAATTCTTCATTTTCCGCTAAAAATCGAGATCTTTTTTAGTTATTGGGACAAAAAAAAGTGAATTTTACTCCGTGAGGAAAAAACTGGCTCGCCAAAAATTCTAATTGCGAAGGATAATTTGCCTTGGAAACCTAAAGAGACGGCGTAATAAAATTCCCGGTAACATTAAGGGAAAATAGTATTAGATTTGATTATACGATCTCATGATCGATTGTTCTAAATGACCTAAGAGTTGCCTTAAATACTTGCAGAATGCCCAGGGCTCCCTTCTTCAATATCAAACGGCGAAGTCAATGGTTCGGGTCGCTTGCAAGGATCACACCACAGGTTTAGCTGTCGCCCCGGTTACTCTCTGGTAGGCCAAGCCACTTTACACTGTACCGATGAGGGAAAGTGGAATGCCAGTGTTCCCATATGTATGAGAGGTACAGATATCTATCTCAAATTAAATTTGACAAATGGCGTGTGGTTACAACACCTATTGCAGGAATCGTTGCCGCATGTTTTGCATTTTCCGAACTGCAAAACATGTGTTTTATTAAATTACGAGGTCTGATGTTATGAAAACAGCTAACACCAGCGCTTTTTTTGGTCGTAGAGATGCAGGTAGAGATATTTCAAAAATTATCCCCTTAGTTAAGCTTGCGCGCAAATCCTTTATAGACGCAATTTACCAGAGCTACGTCAAGTTACATTGAGTCATTAATTTTTGGTAGAGAAGCGAGCCTTCAGTTATAAAGATGATTCGAAATCATGTTTGATAAGATAGAAAAAACACAAATGAGTCATTCAATCACAAATTAAGAAGAAGCAAAAATAGATAAGGGAGAAGTGGACTGCAAATATCAGCTTTAAGAATTTAGATAACCCATGGACTAATGAGCTCCTTCGAAAGAATGACTTTCACATTATTATCTCTTTCACCAGAATGTCCTCATCTTCCATCATTCATACCAAATGGATTCGTTGGTGGGAATGGATCGGTGGAGGGATCTCAGTACAGGTTCAGTTGCAAGGGAGGATACTCTCTTGTGGGGGCAAACACCCTTCAATGTACCGATCAGGGAAACTGGAATGGCTCCATTCCTACGTGTCTCAAAGGTACGGGTGCACGAGAGTTCGATTATTTTAAACTCCACCTATGTAGCACTTTCTGTTAATTACATGATAATGTAAGTGCCATGTGGAGACCTGCCAGAGTTTTTGTGTTACTTCATTTCACTGGTTTTTGTGCACCGCTTCCGATGCCTGAAACCATTTTCCTGGTGCTTGAGAAATTCAAGAGATATCTATCCCTGGTTTTCCTTAAGGAACCTTGTGTGATCCGTAGCCCGCAATTCGCTGAATATACCACTTGTCACAGGTTTAGTTTTCAAGAAAATGAATTTATCATCTCATGTTTCCTGTCCATGGTTATTACATTGCGCGCTATCATGAAGCAAAGTGATCCTTGATTTTTCTTCATTTCTTTTTTTTTTTTTCTCCCCCTGAATTATACGAGTTTTTCGGATTTTTAATTTTAAGTAATCTTATTTTCAGAATGTCCACAACTGCCGTCATCAATACCTAATGGATTTGTCAACGGCACAGGTTTCTTGGAAGGCTCCGTGTATGGATTTAGTTGTTTGCAGGGCTACTCCCTTATTGGAGAGAAAACGTTAGTTTGCTCTGCGGGCGGAAACTGGAATTCCAGCCTTCCCAGCTGTCTCAAAGGTAGCTGTAATTAAGTGGTAAAAAATAACCGCAAAATGATTACATTCAAGGGTCTACAAAAACTCTTTAAGATATTCAGCATGACAAAACCTTTAAATATTGGTTAACAGTACTGTAATAGCGCTACTTTTTTTTATCTGACCCTCGTTAAAATATCGAAGTAACTATTGTGAACTGATATGCCTGACTAAGAAATATTATGACAGTATCTGATCCTATTTTCCAAGCAAGACAAGCTCGAATATGGGGGGAGGGGGTTGGATAAAGGAGTTGTTACGGTCTAGGAATAAATAAGTGTTTACGTAACGAAAAATTCGTTGTGTATGGACTATGTTTAGTTTTGGTCACATAGTTTGCAGCAATACAAGAGTCACCGAGTGATTTTATCTAAAGTTTATCCTGAAGAGTCAAACATTGTGGCAAGTTTATTTCAATTGTTGTTGGTTCGATCGTCACAGATTGTCCAGACCTTCCGTCGTCCATACCGAATGGAAAAGGAAACGGAACTGGTTCCGTAGAGGGCTCCAAGCATCATTTTACTTGCAATGAGGGATATTCACTGGTTGGACAGAGAGCTTTACATTGCAATAACACAGGTGCCTGGAATGGCTCTGTGCCTGTGTGTCTTATAGGTAGTGTATCCATTAATGTTTGCCTATGAAGTAACGTAAAATTTCCCTTGCTGAACAAGAGTTCTGATAAAATGAATACTGAGGTTTACTAATTACCATCACCCTAATTTTTCATAATGTAAAGACTCTACTGTCTATTAGATTTTTATTGCTGTCAGGTAAGTAACCTATACAGTTTTCAAACTGACTCATAAAAAACTTATCGGATACATTTTTGGAAATCTTCACACAGATTGTCCTAGGCTGCCATCTGAAATAAAAAATGGCGAAATAAATGGAACAGGTTTCGTAGAGGGATCATTGTACAAATTTAGCTGCAACGATGGTTACTCTATCGTGGGTCAAGATCTTCTGTATTGCACTCAAATGGGAAGATGGAACGCAGGTGTCCCCCTTTGTCTCAGAGGTAAGTGCCTTTTGAATTGTTTGCGTAATGTTGTATGCAAAGGAAAAGCCTGCAGTCGAGCTAAGTCATCCATCCAGCCGTAGCTTATCCCGTTTTCTGTAAAATGAAGCGACGAGGAATATTGCTACTCTCATCCTGAAAGTTTGAGTTTTCTTGAAAGTTTGCCGGTGCCGATTTTTACTTCTAGGTGAGAGAGGCAGCACCATGAGAATAAAGCGTGCTGCCTATGACCATATAGCTCAATGGCCCGGCCAAATCTTGAGCCCAGACCTCTCGACCCGGACTTCAGCGCGCCAACCGCTGGGGGACCGGATCTCTAAAAATGTCTTGATTTTTTACTATGAATCATTCTCGTGATTTAAAGCTATGATTAAAGGGCTTTTGAATGTCATTACATGTGTCTTCCAGAATGTCCTATCCTACCGCCTTCTATACCGCATGGTTTCATCCAGAGCAGAGGCCACCACAAGAGTCTTGGTTTCTTCAAGGGTAAAGGCTATTTAGAGGGATCCCAGTATCAGTTTAGCTGTGAAAAAGGGTACTCACTTCTTGGTGCGGAAAATTTAGTTTGCACGGATGCTGGGATATGGAATGACTCGCTTCCCTCCTGTCTTAGAGGTACGTGCATATTCACAGTCAACCGAAATGTTCAGCCCTAATATGACAGTGCTCGCCTCGTGTCAACTGAGGTCTGTCTTCCTCTTCTGGACCTTGTTAAAAATCTTGGTTGTTATTGTTAAGGATAATCATCCTGTTAGTTGAACTGTACGGGAGTGTTCTCTACGTAGGCAACCTTATTTTGTTATTCCCTAGAGTGCCCTGTGCTTCCCTCATTGTTGGCAAATGGCTTCATCCATGGAAGTGGCTCATTGGAAGGTGCTCAGTACAACTTCAGTTGTAAGCAGGGGTATTCTCTAATTGGTGCGGACACAGTAGTTTGCACGGATGCCGGGGAGTGGAATGGCTCACTCCCAACCTGCCTAATAGGTATATGAGAAATTGATGTTCGGTTACTAATCTTACCTCCCTCATATGGGATAATTACGTTATTAAATTTTGTATTTGTCGTCTTTTTATCTAGAGTGCCCAAAGCTTTCTTCGAATCTTGCAAACGGAGCAGTTAATGGATCAGGTCACGTGGAAGGGTCTATGTACAATTTTAGTTGCATGGATGGTTACTCTATTGTCGGACATGATACTGTATTTTGTACTAAAATGGGTGTATGGAACGCCAGTGTCCCTAACTGTCTTAGAGGTACAAACAAAAATCACTTTACATAGTAACAATGTATTGCCTATTAATTGTTGTGGATGTAACAAGCAGTTTCTATTACATTTAGTATATATTTTGCTATTCGAACTCTTAGTAATTTTGGCTTTTGTCGTATGAAATTGGATATTCCCCCTTCTGGCCATGGACCCAGATTGATCTTAGTTCGATTGTGTGGTTTCACATCCCGGCTGGAAGAGCATGGTAACGGTATCGCAGTATTCCTGTGTTACTACCCCACCGAAGCCTTTACTGTTTGCAGGTTTTTTGTCTTATTGCGTCAGTTGGGAATTTAAAGATCGAGGTTAATTTTAAACAAAGAACATATCTATGTCTATTTTCCAGAATGCCCAGTTCTTCCCTCATCAATATCGCATGGTTTTGTTAACGGTAGCGGCTCATTGGAAGGTAACCAGTATAAGTTCAGTTGTCAGGAGGGCTACTCTCTTATTGGTGCGGACACATTAGTTTGCACGGATTCTGGTGTGTGGAATAGCTCGCTTCCAACCTGTCTCATAGGTATGTCAAGAATGTGTGGTCAAAGGTCAATCCTTTCCTTTTATAAAGGGAGTTTGCTAGATATTAACTACTTACATTGACTTTTCGATTTATTTCTCTTGCACTGGAACTCTTGGGAGAGAAATGATATTTATTGTTAGATTTAGCCATCTATAGCCTGTGTTTTCCAATTTTTTTTTCTTCATAATTTGTTCCCTTGATAGAATGCCCCTCATTGGCTGCTGGCATGGACAATGGTTATAAACATGGCCGTGGGTCGGTGGAAGGCTCTTCGGTCTGGTTTAGCTGTGCTAATGGTTATTCTCTAGAAGGAAACAAGTACCTCTATTGTGATGAGAATGGCCAATGGAATGGTACAACACCTTCTTGTCTAAAAGGTAAGTAAATATGTTTTAAATTCAAATTTGATGAAGACATGCTCACAAGATAAACCATAACCATTGGGAATAACTCTTAAAGCAGCCAATACCACTGCTCTATTACTGTTAAAATTACTTACCTACACATGAGTTTATACGCTTACCTAAGAACATTAATATGTAAGAAAGCTGTACGCTAACACAGCTACACATTCTTTTTCTAAGATTGTCCTCAAATGAACCGCACTCTAGAAAACGGGCACATTGATGGTAATGGATCCACATCAGGTGCAGTGTATAGCTTTCTTTGCGATGAAGGATACAGCATAGATGGAGAAACCTCGCTGCGCTGTGATGAAAAGGGACAATGGAATGGTAGCATTCCTGTATGTTTAAAGGGTACGTTAAACTCTTAGTTTACTGTTTGATTTCATTTTGCAACGGCCGACCTGTTATGCACTAATGCTTTGTTATAATCGACACCAAATCGAGTTGTGTCTCGCAAAAAAATTAGAAATTAGTTGTAGCAACAGTAGTAACAAAGGAAGTAGTGGCATTAACAGTTAACAGTTCTTTTGGTATCGGTGGTGGTGGATGTTTTGCTGGTTGTGAAAGCGGTGTTCCCATAATGCTCTTCATAGAAGGAGGGTAGGCAGCAACAGCGATGTTAAAGTTATCTGCATTCGTGGCATAGGTGGTAGTGATGATTATTGCTTGACTGCGGTGGCAGCGGTGATATTGGCAACTATGGTGATTGTGTAGTGTTGATAGTTTTGATGCCAATTAAAATCATTTTAATGTGAGTGGTAGGGGCTGCGTCATCTTGGTGCGAGTGCGTGAACTAATAGCAGTGGTGGCAGTGTTCCAAGCATAGATAAAAATACCTCTGAAAGTCTTTTATATGTACTTCCCCCCTTACTGAACAACTTTCAATTTACCTCAGCTCATACAGATAAAGAAGAAAAGGATACAAACGGCTGGTACCTTAACGTCCTGAATGGTGTCGCAATCCTAATTCTGATAATCGCAATTGGCCTGTTGGTAATTTGGTGTCGACGGAGATCAGGTAAAAAAGATATAACAACCGCGAAGGGTGACGAAGAGGCAGAACTGGAAGTTGTGAAGAGACCTAAAGTACCTGTGGATAGTGAAGACAAATGTACCACTGCTCCACAAAACGATCGCTCTAAAGATCCTGTGGGCGTAGTGTAAATGAAAGACTTCCGTAGACCCTAACTATGTTTTCTGGATTTAGAGTGTCACGTCTTTGAGGAAACTCTTATAAGAGCCCCCTTTAAACGCTTGAATATTCCCGCCGTAACTTAACGCGATATCAAGAGATCCTTCCTTAGTATTTCACTCAATGTTTGAAATGTCTTTTTAAGTTAATTTTTCAAGTGGCGACCTTAACTTAAAGGGGAATATTGATGAAAATCCACGCAGGGCGATAAGCTCCATCAACTTACGGTCTTGAAGCAATTCAATTTTAAAAGTGGATCTCCACACCCAGAAACGTTGTTAACGAATTGAGAAAAGATATCATGTAAGTGAGTAAAACTGCCGCTCAACGAGTCGGTGTCTCCGAGATCAATTCACGAGAAGTTAAACGTTATCAATATTTATTTCAAGGTTTAATTTACAATGCTCTTCTTTTGACTTTAAAACAATGTATGTATTATATAAATTATCCGATGAGCTGCTAAAGCTATCAAAGGGTATCTATCGCGCATTCTATTTATTAAGGAAATTGGGTTTCCTATATATGCCAGCTCCCGCTTGATGCAAGTAGACCATGTAGACATTTCCTATCAAGGCTCAGGCTTAAAACAAATGAATAACTCGCATGATCTAAAGAGTTTGACAATATTTTGAAAAACATAAAGTAAGAGACGAGACGAAACTTTCTTTTAATCTGTTTTCATAATTTTGCATTTTCACAAACAGGTGTATTTCTTCGCGTGTACTACCAGCCTTCTTACGTGAGACAAACCAATAAAGATTCACTAGCCTTTCTGTAAATGATTTGATGAAACATCTAGATCGATTACTCGGCAGGCAAGACAGCTTATTATTTTTCCCATCCGCACTGTAATAAATAATTGGCTTCAGCCTTTATTTATTACATACCACCTATATGCAAGGAGAATTTGGCTCCCTTTCACATTTTTTCCATTTCTTTCGAAATTTCTCCCCGTAGAGCAAATTGTTGTTATCCTCTCTGTCACTGGTCATCTCTGGTCATACATATGGGAAAGGAAAATTAAAAGGGTTGGAATGAGATCGAGAGTAGCAAATGTTTTTGGTCTGTCCACAGCACTAAATTAACTCACTCTTGCCAAGTTCTTTCCCCTTGTATCTATTCCTATTACTTATCGCGTTCGTGTTATGTTCTACTATAAGATCAAATAGACGGGAAGGAAAGAATCCAATTCAAACAAACTTTTGAATTTAGCTAGCTGCAAAGTGAAATACATCTTGCTAAATTGACCAGTCATATTACATGTACTAACTAAGAGATAAACAGTGATAATGTGTGTCATCCATCAGACAGAAAATGAAGATTATCACTTTTAATCAAAGATATCATGTTATCTAATTTTCTCAAGATTTGATTGCAAACATCCAGTGATTGTTGTTTTGTTTTTGTGTTTTTGCCCATTTCTATTTTATGAAGCAACAATTTACATAGCGTACATTGGCAGACAAATTAGTTGTCCCAAAGTTTTATTTTTCATGGAGATATATAGCAGTATGCAAGTATGACCGGGAGACTGGTTGTATAGTCTTTCTTTTCTTTCCTCTTCTGTCCAGAGGATGAAATGCACATATTTATAGTGAAGGTTCATTTTCTAGAGAGATTTTATTGGCATAGAAATAACCCTTTGACTGAAAACTACCTCCTCCTTCTCCCCACCCCCCACCCGCTTATAAAGATTGTATTCAACCAGTCCCCTTGTGATTGCGATTGGACTCAGCCGGGCTGGCAAGTCTATGCTGTTTGCCAAGCACACTTCTGAAAAACTTGAGCCCACTGTTGGTAGGCTCTTTTTGCGAGTGTCTATGTTAGAATATACTTTTTAGGTTTATCACTTTGAGATGACATTTGTTAGATGTCGAAAAAAGTTTACTTATAGTGATGTTGGGGAACACATGATGACCATTTTACTCCCAGAATAAAAGAAAATTATCAGAATCAAAGTTTAATGATCATTAATAGAAGTAGTATTTTAAGTATTAGTATTGTTATCAGTGGTGGCATCATCATCATCATCATCATCATCATCATCATATTTATCACCGCATTTCAAACCAAGGAACGATATGTAACTCTCATCGATATATCGAAACTTCCTGTTAACGACTCGATATTGTTTAAGATGTTAAAATTGACGCAAAAAATTTTCTTCTGGGAAGAGGGATTGCTTTAAGTCTAAAGTTAATATAATCACTTCCTGGTCACGATCTTACGTGAGGATTCTAAGATATTGCTTTTGATATGTAGGTACCCATCCATACTCGCCAATTTTGTGTAAACTTCATCCGTTGAGATCGATTTCCTGTTACTACAGCAATTTTTGCTTCTGACTTATACATCCGACTTTTTATGAATTCATTCTACTTCTTCGTTCGCGTATAAGCGGTTAAAAATAATCAGGGTTTTGTTTGGCAATCTCCCTCTCGCATTATTCTTAAACTGTCTTAGACACCTCCAGTTATCTTCAGAAGTTGTCGTAGCATACTCGTTAATTTGCGGAGGTTGTTTGAACATCTTAAGCAGTTTGCGGTTGTTGTCTAACTATTTCTATAGTCCAGACAAAATTAAGGGAAATCTCAGATCCATTTTCCATCAGATTTTCATAGCGACCTGCGACAGAGTTTCATTCTATGGAGCTGAAGGAGAATTTAATAACAAGGTAACAATGAAAGATAACTATTCTGACTACACGCAGGCGAGATATTCAATGTGAAAGTTTATTTAGGACGAGTCAGCCAATCTTGTAGTCTACACATGCTACTACAATCTGCAATGTACTGCAAGTATTCACTGAAACTGAAGGGTTATACAAAAATAGGCTGTGCTACGCCAGATACGAAAAAACCACTAAAAAACCACTCTCTAGAAGTGGCCAAAAAATATGTGGATACGTATTCCTCATCTAATGCAGCAGCACTATACCCCGAGAAAAGGATAACTAAAATAAACCTAGTTACACTACTAATCACACAGAAAATTCAATGAAAGCATTGATATTTTACAGAGAGTTGTAAAACAAAATTACATTGACCGATTTAGAATGACTGAATTTTCCCCGCGAAACGCTTAAATAATCCGTGTAGCCTGCGGGTGCACAAGAGTGGTACGACGGGAGCGGCGAAGCCCGCAGGTTTCGAGCCCACCCGTTTGCAAAGAGTCTGGGAGGGTTCTGCCCTTAAAATAAGACCCCTCTCAGACCTCTTTCACGCCCATTTTGCTCGCCAGTTCGAGTCTCAAGGGCTTCATACTCGTGCCATATCTTAAATGAGAGTCTGCACTTCTCAAAAATCTTTTTACTAAAGAACATATGACTAATGGAATACTCAAATATCTTTGGAACGACTTAATTCAATGAACTATAAACATGACACCTTCATTGTTGTGACTCTAAAAAAGGTTAAAACGTCGCCTAAGAGAAAGGTACTTATTCATGCACTGAGCTCGCTTGGAAAAGATTACTCATAGAGAAGAGTTTAACCCTTTCCTCTATCTGCATCTGTGACCGAAATATTACACAATGATGAAGATCTTACCATAATTGTATGGAATTGACTGTAAATTTGACTTTGAATTGGAGGACGGGTTTAATGCTGGAGATGGGACGAGGTTCTTCGTTATCTCCAGCTCCCGAACAAATGACATCCTCAATCTTCCTTCTACCTCAAACGTTGCTCGAGACGGTCAGTTGCCATGGATGTTCCGAACCGATGAAGCAAGTGTGGAGGCTGGGGGATGCAACACAAAAGGTACAATTTGCAAACACAAATATAGTTCAAAGAAACATTACGGTGTCATAGGCATAGGTCTGTAGATGTCGTAGGACATTCAGCTAATACACCTTAAAAGAGAAAAATAACTTGAATTTAAAAAATCTAAATAGGGAGTAAATGGAACAGACCAACAAACTTTTGGGAAAGTGACTTAAAACTGTACGGAAATAACAATTTTATCCTCCGCAGTTTTTGTTTCTTAACTTCGTTTTTTAAAAGGCGTGCATTCCCCTGCAATCATCGTGCAATCTTTACCGCGAAGCATGAAGTGTTACAGATTTTCTGACTTTGCTCCATAAAATGTGTCGTTTAAAAAAAAAAAGGATTCAACCAATGAAGAACCGCAAATTTTAACCACGTTCAGTAGGCGCACTATCATCAGTTTTTCCTCGCTGATGTTTTTTTGGAATCGTGCGACTGACTTTGCCGATAAGGAGTGGCCTTTCTCGTCTAAACAGTTCCTGGCAGAAATTTCAGTCATCGCGAGCTGCAATTGAAACTCCAGTGCCATTTTTCCGTTATACGTTACCCAAGCATTGCATTCATCTGCCTTCTTCTTATTTAACAGGATCTCTCACCATATCACCCTGTTTATATTAGGAGGTACAAACGTGAAAATGAGTGGACCTTGCTTCACTGCAAATGATAACATTGTGGTTCAACTCGACAATGACGTCAACATTAATAATGCAACTTTTAGCGAAGAGCTAACGTCATCAGTTACCATACTAGTGTTGAACAAGACATGACCGCTGTCATTCAGGTATTTGGTCATAAAGGTATACACATCAGGTATTTCATCAACTACAGTCTTTCAAATTGTCTGTTGAGCTCACTTCTGTCATCAGTTAAAAGTGTAAATTTAAGGAAAAACTAGAGAGAAGGAGTAGGAATTTTATTTTTTTAGACGAACGATTTTACGTCTACGTCTTTGTTAGAAAACCAAGCTCAAAATTTGAAATATATATATTTTTAATCTCCACTCGAGTCGCTCTGGCCATAGGATCCACAAGTTGTCATCAAAGAGCCATGTCTGGCTCAAATAGTTCCGGGTGTGGTAGAATATCCGATCGCAAAATGGAACCTCGGCGAGGTTCGAATCTTCACAAGGCCCTAGGATTTTTGATATTTGAAGGGCAACATGCACCATTGGCTTTGTTCAAGTTTCCGGGTCGTTAAATTTCTTC